CACATACTCACACACACACACACACACACACACACACACACACACACACACACACACACACACACACACACGAGTTTGTCTGATGTGACTCATGTGGCGCAGCAGGTTCTGGCTCGCTTTAATTATCCGTCTCTACAGCACGTCTCACAACACACAACACACTGCTGTATTAGTGTTACAAACTCAACGCTCTGCACACATATTTAATGGATTTTTGCCATACCATGACCTTACACCTACAGCAAAGTTAAGTCAAATTTATTTATTTAGCACTCAAAGCAGCTTCACAGCAATAAACAAGAACAATTATTCAGCTGGAAAGCAGCTCTGCATAAGCGTGAGTAACCGAATTTAGGTTTTGATTTGAATTTTTAGCGTTCAACAATTATGAAAACCGATAATAAACCAATTATTGTCCCACATTCATGATAATAAACCGATTCATCTATTAATCATGTCTGAAAACATGGCATCTTTTTTGTTATTTTGTTATTTAAACACATAACTATAAACCAGAAAACCAGAGAAACTGAGAATTTAAGTGGTCTTTTTGTTATTATTTTTTTATTGTTTTTGTTTTAAATAAAATAAACAATTAAATTGTTCTAAAAACAATTTATCGTCATAATCGAGCAGCCATAGACAACAGTGCCATTATTCAGCTCAATTTAGTTCAAATGTTAATTCAATTTACCGCAGCTACAGAATCAATGTTGCAAAGTTCATCAATAGTAAGTAAAATACTGTAGCAAAAGAAATAATGAGTTCTGGCTCATAAGGTTTCAGTATATTAGTGAAATCAATTTAAGACGGTTTCCATCCGTCTATCATCACACTGTAATCTTACTTGTAGTTGTTGTTGATATCAGACACTCTCCAGGCGTTCTGCATGTCAAATCCCATCCGCTTCACCTCCACCTCCATCCTGTGCCGCACGTGATCACCTGAGAGACACAAACTGAATTAATAAGCTTCCCATTGATGTATGGTTTGTTAGGATAGGACAATATTTGGCCGAGATACAACTATTTGAAAATCTGGAATCTGAGGGTGCAAAAAAATCTAAATATTGAGAAAATCATCTTTAAAGTTGTCCAAATGAAGTTCTTAGCAATGCATATTACTAATCAAAAATTAAGTTTTGATATATTTACGGTAGGAAATTTACAAAATATCTTCATGGAACATGATCTTTACTTAATATCCTAATGATTTTTGGCATAAAAGAAAAATGTATAATTTTGACCCATACAATGTATTATTGGCTATTGCTACAAATATACCCCAGCGACTTAAGACTGCTTTTGTGGTCCAGGGTCACATTTGATAAGCTCTAAATTCTCAGTATAATCAAAACGTTGCTGTCAAACCTGTTGCAAACAATCGACTCCATGCCTTCTGTCGTCTGATTAGATATAATTATGCGCATTTTGGAACATCGCATTAAAAAAAACGCTGGATGGAAACGCCAAGAACACGCATAAATTCTAAAAATGCGCATAAAAAAACATATGCGCACATATGAGTAGGATAAACTTCTTATCCGATAAGAAAAAATGCGCATAAACTACAATGGAAACACATTTATCATGTGACTTTGCGCTATGAGACGGGATAACTTGACTAGCAGCGGACCGATCTCGTTCACAGCGTCTATATGTTGTTATGGTCGTTCTGAAATGCTCGAGCAAAGTCTGTTGTCAAAGTATTTCACTATAATTGTCTTACACGACTGCGTTCCCAAACATCAGCATCCTCCGACAGCGTTTATTGGGTTTTGTCTGCTCGCTCAGAGGCGCAAGTAGTTTATATGAAATGTATTATATTCAGTGGCTTCTCCTAGTTTTCTCAGAGATATTTAGTGCCAGTTTACCAGGAAGTGACGATTTTGTTCTCGTTGACTCGTTGGATGGAAACGGTGGTTTATTAGCAAATGTTTTATGCGATATTCCAGTTTTGCGCATTAGTTTAATTCGAATCGTTGGATGGAAACATAGCTATTGATGGTTAAGAGTTTTTTATCCAGTCAAAGCTCTTTTAGTGTAATTGTACAAACGTCCAGCTTCAGTTCGTGCTTCACGTGTCTTTTTGCTGTCAAATCTTGACTGATTTTTATCAAGTAAACGTCAGAATAACTGCAGTAATATTTCCAGATGAACACTTACTGGACTGAAGCAGCTCGGCTTTACTTGATTCTCCATCAATCATGTTTTAGAAGAATCAGTGCGTCTCAAATCTGATCCTCAGGATCTTCTGAGGAGCATTTATTTCTTCATCTCTCAATCATTGCATTATATGTTCGATCATTTCGATCTCACTTTACTAAGACATATTATTGGAGATACAGAGCGACCACTGATATTTAGATAATTTTATGTCAGTAGCTGCTGTACTGTTATAAAGATCTCATTGATTTACAATACATGCATCAGAATTTCATCACTTGTCAGCCATATAAATATCAGCATCTGCACCCAATTGCATATTTTTGCTCAGTTTAACTCTACCTGGTCTGCAGAGGTGCAGGTGCTGGTCTTCATCGTCCGTGTTTCCTCCTAAACACCAGGCGTGAAACGCCAGCGCGAACAGCTCCTCCAGACGGGCCGGATGCGCTATGGCTCTGTTCAAGCGCTTCAGCCACTCCTCACACTGCTTGAACGTCGAGAAATGACACCTGACGCAGAAAACATTCACATTCACGCATTTAGCAGATGTCAGGAAACAACACGGATTACAGCGGATTCAGAAAAGGCCACAGAAACATGTGAAGCACAATGAAAACTGAGAAAGACAATTATACTTTACAGTAAGCTCTCATAGTTAATGCATTAATCAATCTATCAACAAGTTACAGGTAACAGCAAGAAGAAGTATCTTAGGTAATGTTAGTAAACACAGTTTTTCATTGTTCACGTTGTTTACAGTGCATTAACTAATGTTACAGATGCAGATTATGGCAACTTTGGCCAACAACAACAACTCATTATTTTTGATAACGAGACGATAACCATATATTGATAAAGAGATGTTATTTCCATAATATGTCACACCAATGTGAGATTTAAACAAGACATCAGGCAACAAAATAACAATGCACAGTAGAAAAGAGACAGTACTTCTGAAACCTGGTAAGGAAATTTTAGTGTTAGATTTTAATTAAATAATCCTTTTATGATCTGTGTACGATATCAGCTTCATCGGATCAATATTGATAATTTAAGTCATAATATTGGCCAATATCAAAACTGTTGACAAGGCATTTTCAAATTCATGAAGTGAGATCCTGAGATAGAAAAGCAAAAGTAATAATAATAATAAAATATATTACCTAACAGTAATTAAAACGTTTATATATATTATATACTAAGAAAATAATATTAATTAAAGAAGGTATTATTAATCCCAATTTCAGTGTTCTCAAATGTTAAATAAAATATGAGTAATTAAAATGCATTCATTTTATTTTCTTATAGAAAAAATATCAAAAATAAAATGCGTGCGTGTCTGTGTGCGTGCGTGTGTCTGTGTGAGTAAGTGTGTGTGTGTGTCTGTGTGTGCGTGTCTGTGTGTGTGCGTGTCTGTGTGAGTGAGTGTGTGTGTGTCTGTGTGTGCGCGTGTCTGTGTGCGTGCGTGTGTCTGTGTGATATTTACGGTAGGAAATTTACAAAATATCTTCATGGAACATGATCTTTACTTAATATCCTAATGATTTTTGGCATAAAAGAAAAATGTATAATTTTGACCCATACAATGTATTATTGGCTATTGCTACAAATATACCCCAGCGACTTAAGACTGCTTTTGTGGTCCAGGGTCACATTTGATAAGCTCTAAATTCTCAGTATAATCAAAACGTTGCTGTCAAACCTGTTGCAAACAATCGACTCCATGCCTTCTGTCGTCTGATTAGATATAATTATGCGCATTTTGGAACATCGCATTAAAAAAAACGCTGGATGGAAACGCCAAGAACACGCATAAATTCTAAAAATGCGCATAAAAAAACATATGCGCACATATGAGTAGGATAAACTTCTTATCCGATAAGAAAAAATGCGCATAAACTACAATGGAAACACATTTATCATGTGACTTTGCGCTATGAGACGGGATAACTTGACTAGCAGCGGACCGATCTCGTTCACAGCGTCTATATGTTGTTATGGTCGTTCTGAAATGCTCGAGCAAAGTCTGTTGTCAAAGTATTTCACTATAATTGTCTTACACGACTGCGTTCCCAAACATCAGCATCCTCCGACAGCGTTTATTGGGTTTTGTCTGCTCGCTCAGAGGCGCAAGTAGTTTATATGAAATGTATTATATTCAGTGGCTTCTCCTAGTTTTCTCAGAGATATTTAGTGCCAGTTTACCAGGAAGTGACGATTTTGTTCTCGTTGACTCGTTGGATGGAAACGGTGGTTTATTAGCAAATGTTTTATGCGATATTCCAGTTTTGCGCATTAGTTTAATTCGAATCGTTGGATGGAAACATAGCTATTGATGGTTAAGAGTTTTTTATCCAGTCAAAGCTCTTTTAGTGTAATTGTACAAACGTCCAGCTTCAGTTCGTGCTTCACGTGTCTTTTTGCTGTCAAATCTTGACTGATTTTTATCAAGTAAACGTCAGAATAACTGCAGTAATATTTCCAGATGAACACTTACTGGACTGAAGCAGCTCGGCTTTACTTGATTCTCCATCAATCATGTTTTAGAAGAATCAGTGCGTCTCAAATCTGATCCTCAGGATCTTCTGAGGAGCATTTATTTCTTCATCTCTCAATCATTGCATTATATGTTCGATCATTTCGATCTCACTTTACTAAGACATATTATTGGAGATACAGAGCGACCACTGATATTTAGATAATTTTATGTCAGTAGCTGCTGTACTGTTATAAAGATCTCATTGATTTACAATACATGCATCAGAATTTCATCACTTGTCAGCCATATAAATATCAGCATCTGCACCCAATTGCATATTTTTGCTCAGTTTAACTCTACCTGGTCTGCAGAGGTGCAGGTGCTGGTCTTCATCGTCCGTGTTTCCTCCTAAACACCAGGCGTGAAACGCCAGCGCGAACAGCTCCTCCAGACGGGCCGGATGCGCTATGGCTCTGTTCAAGCGCTTCAGCCACTCCTCACACTGCTTGAACGTCGAGAAATGACACCTGACGCAGAAAACATTCACATTCACGCATTTAGCAGATGTCAGGAAACAACACGGATTACAGCGGATTCAGAAAAGGCCACAGAAACATGTGAAGCACAATGAAAACTGAGAAAGACAATTATACTTTACAGTAAGCTCTCATAGTTAATGCATTAATCAATCTATCAACAAGTTACAGGTAACAGCAAGAAGAAGTATCTTAGGTAATGTTAGTAAACACAGTTTTTCATTGTTCACGTTGTTTACAGTGCATTAACTAATGTTACAGATGCAGATTATGGCAACTTTGGCCAACAACAACAACTCATTATTTTTGATAACGAGACGATAACCATATATTGATAAAGAGATGTTATTTCCATAATATGTCACACCAATGTGAGATTTAAACAAGACATCAGGCAACAAAATAACAATGCACAGTAGAAAAGAGACAGTACTTCTGAAACCTGGTAAGGAAATTTTAGTGTTAGATTTTAATTAAATAATCCTTTTATGATCTGTGTACGATATCAGCTTCATCGGATCAATATTGATAATTTAAGTCATAATATTGGCCAATATCAAAACTGTTGACAAGGCATTTTCAAATTCATGAAGTGAGATCCTGAGATAGAAAAGCAAAAGTAATAATAATAATAAAATATATTACCTAACAGTAATTAAAACGTTTATATATATTATATACTAAGAAAATAATATTAATTAAAGAAGGTATTATTAATCCCAATTTCAGTGTTCTCAAATGTTAAATAAAATATGAGTAATTAAAATGCATTCATTTTATTTTCTTATAGAAAAAATATCAAAAATAAAATGCGTGCGTGTCTGTGTGCGTGCGTGTGTCTGTGTGAGTAAGTGTGTGTGTGTGTCTGTGTGTGCGTGTCTGTGTGTGTGCGTGTCTGTGTGAGTGAGTGTGTGTGACTAAGTTTACGAGCGTGTGTGTGCGCGTGTGTGTGTCTGTGCGTGTGTGTGTGCGCATGTCTCAATCAGCCTCAGAGGAACCTGCACACACACAATCAGCCAATCAGAGAGCAGAAGACCTCATCACATGACTGTATCAACCAATCATGAGTATCTAACTGCAAAAACATGCAACAATGTAACAAGAGTAACTCCTGACCTGCAACAATGTAACAGATTTAAACTGCAAGATAAAGCATGTAACACTGAGAGCATTTACAGATGCATTAAAAGCTGATTCAAACTGACTTCTGAAATGGTGTTATTGCAAGATATTAATGCCTTTAATATACTGACATCAGTTCTCAATATTTAACATGGTCTGCCCTGTTGATTATACAACATATATCAATATATTTTACATATAATCATATAAAACAGTATAAAACATATTAATAGTATAATTAAATAATAATATTTTTTAAATACTGACATAAAAGGCATTAATAGGCTCAATAGGTCAAGTGATTTCACCATTGTCTGTCCTGTTAATTATTTAATATATATCAACATATACAATATACAATAAAATAAAATAAAACATAATATACAATAAAACAACTTTATATACTCACATAAAAGGCA